CTAAATAATTACTGTCCAAAATAGTGTCTTTTGACTCTGTCACATTTGCATTCTTACCTGGTTTAGTATTTCCTTAGAAGTTTTATCGTCCTTTTGATAAAGACCGTCAAAACTGAAGAGGATTGAGCTTTTGGAGTTCCATATTTTAGGAGTCTGATGCAATTCTACCATCATCTTCTCTAGTTCGAGTCGTTTTCTGCAGATGCAAAACCATGATCTTAGTAAATAATATTATGCATTACCTCTGGAAAATAGAGCAATGAGCTGCGGAAGTAACTTTGGGGAATGTCAAATAACATCTTGGGGTGTATGGAAAGTCATAGCCGCCATGTTGGTTGACTATGCAAATCATTCCTCATTAAGCTGCTCTTGTTAAATCAACCAAGATGGCGGCTGTTTCATTGTTATTACCTGACCGTAATCATGACAAAAGGCGAATCTCCTGGCTTCCTTCTGAAATTGAATTCCTGTCTTTCATGTGACTCGCAGGAATTGATGACAGCCTGTTTGGACATCTTGTCTTGTCGGATGTAAAAGGTACATGACGTCATCATACGAGCCTTGGGAATGTTGTACTAAGGTGAGAAAAATCATCAAAATGAGCCGTACAAATTGTAACGGTTTTACGCGCAAATGTTGCATCCAAGTTGAAGGAGACAAGAAATGTTGTTCTGTTACTTTGGTTTAAAATGGCTGCCGTTGAATCTATTTTCCTTTATCAGGCTGAACTTTGCTTTTTTCCAAGGATTTTTCCACAGCAAATACATTGAAATTTATTTATTTATGCTCGCTTTAGCAATTTTACGAACTGTAAGGTTCACACGCTTTTTCTCCACCAATTCTCGTGGGCTATAAAATCGATAAATACAGATGTCATGTGATACAAATCCAGCTTGCTCAGAAAAGTGTCAAAAAATCGTCATCGCTATTTGCACTAGTACAGCAGTGGCGCAGGTCAAAGGTTCGAACTGAAGGCATGTGAAGGTACCTATGGCCTCCGCTATACAGTCCATGTACGACCCTGCAGCACAGGTCTAACCAGTTTGAATTAGAATTCTCCTAAAAATGTGCATTCTAAAACTCTTTTTTCTGGCTTCTTATTCACCCCGCCATACATATGTCTAGGATTTGTAAAACTGTGCGTTCGGTTGATTAGAATTCCTTACCCCGGGTTCTTCATTGCATTTGATTGATTCCATATTTTGATACAGGTCACGTGGTCTGTTCTCGCAGTCCGTATAGTCGTTGATCCTCGTCACATTGATCTTGTACATCTTCTGGAAGTTACCCAAGGGAGGGACTACTTCTCGTTCTGTTCGGTACCTCACGCGACATTTACCGGTGACATCAGTCTGAAAGATTATTGAAAAAGAGATCAGGAAATGAATTGAAGACTTGGACATACCACCGATTAAAGAAAAAAAAGGACAAGAAAGAAGAGAAACAATCCAGTGGTCAGCAATGGGTGAGTAAAAGGAAAAGGCGTGGATTGATAAGGTAGGAGTGGTGGAGTAGGGGTGGATGAAATAGGGTAAGACAGGGTGGGGGGGTTATTATAAGGACGAGCTAGACGGTACGTATGAAGTAATGGGTACGATTGGCGGGATGGGGGTTTAGAGGGTCGGTATATAGTAGGAGGTTGGGGATACAATTGCGAAGAAATGTAAGCTTGCTTTTGACCCAACATTTGACCCAACTAATTTAACCCAACATTTGACCCAACATTTGGCCCAACATTTGACCCAACATTTGACCCAACATTTGACCCAACACTTGGCCCAACATTTGGCCCAACATTTGACCCAACATTTGACCCAACACTTAGCCCAACATTTGACCCCATTATTTGACCCAACATTTGACCCAACAGTTGAACCAACATTTGACCCAACATTTGACCCAACATTAGACCCAACATTAGACCCAACATTTGTCCCAACCTTTGACTCAACATTTTTTGTGGCAAATGTTCGGACCGTTTGTCAAGGCCTTATAAAGCTTTCATGAATCCAAGCCGCTATTCAAAAGCAGTCTTACCTCGACGTTTTCGTAGTTATGCGTCATAGACTCCTTTTTAGTCTCCAGCTTGATTTGAAACAACGAGACAATACCTTTCTTCATGTTGAGAATATCTTGCGGTTGGTCTGAGTCGTAGTAGATATTTCCAATCTCTCCATTATCTTTGAAGTTAAACTTCATTTCTTTTTTCCAGAATGCTATTTCCTCATCGGATAATAAGTTGGTATAGTCATTTTTCGACTGAGTTAGAACGGGATCTTCAAACTGCGATGTAAAATAATTTTTAAAGGAAAACGTTAAACCCAGGAAAATATATCGTGTAGCGTTATTTGCGGAAAGCACTAAGTGGGCGTGACGATGCCTGAGATCGAATCCTTACTTATCACCAACGGAACTTAGAAGATTCACAAACTTGATATCCTTTGTTAGACAGACTGCTTACTGAACATTGGGTACGCGGTTTAGTACAAAAATTATGTTTTGTATTAGATCGCGCACCTCAGATCTCGGACCGACAACGTTGTTTGAAATAGGTGTATATATCAATGATGTTTTCCTGTGTTGCGTCTGACGACATTCACTACTTATGTTAGCACATGTTCAGTATTCTAACCTTTATGATGAAATCGTTGACGATTTTTATCAACTTGATCGTTGTTTTGATTTTCAAATTAAGGTCCTTGTGAGGAAAGGATAGATGACCACTGTATTTGTACACATAAACGTAGTTAGGGGCATATCCTGTACATAAAAACAAACACACAAAAAAAAAAGATTAAAGGCGAGATTATTACACGGAACAAGGTTCTTTGCAACTTGTGTCTCAACTTCGTTGAGTGTTTACACGGAAGACGCAACCGTTGCCAAAAGTAGAAGCGAATTTTACTTTTGGCAACGATTGCTGCAACTTGTCTCGCGACACATTTTTTTCAAATTGCACTGTAGATTACAAGCTGCAATGCTCCACTCAACTTGTGTTGCAACGCCGTTAAGTTGGAGAAAAATGAGAGATATGTTGGTGTAGTTTGGTTATGTTTGGGTGGGGGGGGGGGGGTWTTTAAGGGATTGTCATAAACTAAAGCTATACTTTACCACATGGATACTCGTCCGAGCCACCAGAACAATCAAGGGTGCCGTCGCACTCCCAACCTTTCGGTATGCATCGGTTTCCCTGACGGACACTGCATCGAACTTGATCTATATTGTCTTTTCTGCACATATAATCTATACATATATCATTTAAAGAAAATATCAGCAAATTGAAAATCCTAGTGGTTGCCATGACGGCATCTAACGTCAAATCAGTTTCAAATTCAAGTAATGTCACACGGCATAGTTTGTCACGTGACGTCTAAAGTTTCTCTTGGTGAGGTAAAGTTTCTCTTGAGAGGACGGACGTAGAAAGGCTCTCTCAAGATTTGGAGCCTCCTTGAAGATATTTTTCTAGATTAATTAATATTTCAATTTGCAACATACTTACCCGCCGCAAGTGTGGATGTTAACAGGGCTATGAGTAAGGAAAAAAAAGGTTAGAAACTGATCGAATCATGTGATTTGGACCGCTGCCACACAGGGAGCCCAATAAGAGCTGAACTTGCCTTGTCATTCATTTCTTGAGGTTAACACAAGACAGGGAGCCCAATAAGGACTGAACTTGCCTTGTCATTTATCATTTGAGGTTAACACAAGACAGGGAGCCCAATAAGGANATCATTTGAGGTTAACACAAGACAGGGAGCCCAATAAGGACTGAACTTGCCTTGTCATTTATCATTTGAGGTTAACACAAGACAGGGAGCCCAATTCCGAATAAATGTGACTCGGTAAAATCACAGGGAGTCCATGTCTCGTTTAATGTCATTTATCGCATATGATGTCAAAAGTATGACACTGACAATCCTAAGCACCAGTTAGGGAATCCAATTCCACTGGACGTGATTCAAAGCACAGGGATCAAAAATAAACATCCAACAAGCCAGACTCATTTGAATGAATCCAATTCGAATACCATTCCAATTCCGAATGAATCTAGGTTATTGCATGTTATTTGTCACTAAAGCTTAACGCCAAAAATGCAGCAATTAAAAGAATGAGTGAGAACAACACAGGGATCCCCATTTCGAATAAACTTGGCTTGTTACCCATCAATTAACAACAGCCTACGTAAGACGCTAATCATCGCACGAATTTGATACTAAAAGAATTTGCTCTTTTGTGCTTGAACTGAAATCAAAGCCTATAAACATTTGCCGCTGAAATTAACTCGCTTTTTTTTTTTTTTCTTTTTTTTCAATATTTAGTGTTGATTTCCATTTTGAATTTTATATTTAAAAATTCGTCCTTTTATCACGACTTCCGGTCGTGGTTAAATTCTACTAATAAGAAGACTTATAAGAGAGAACCTTATTCAAAAGGCTGCAAAGAAACATTATCTATCAATGCAGAAGTCAAAAAATTATTTTGTTCGAGCACGTCCATGAGTTCACCAAGGTTAATGACTTCGAATCCCCACTTGACATACGATAGGTGTTTTGTGTTCAATCCAGGTATACTTGCCAAAAGAGAAATCCTTAGATTCTATATCTTTGTTCGCTTCGGGTAATTATAATGATAATAATAATAATAACTTTATTTAAGTGTCAAGTTAAGAAAAATAGTCGATTGAAAAGTCTACTAATTGGGGACACTATTTACAACTTAAAGATAATGAATAAATAAAGTGGTAGCCTTTTTTCATGCAGACCAAGAATTTCGGAAATCAATATATTAGACCTGGGCTTTTCTTTATTGATGGGTTGCAAGCATTCCTAAGAGAGTTAAGACAACAACATGGCGGCCATTGTGGTACCGTTAACAATGGATGCTAATGAGAAATCTTTTGTTAAATGGTACCAACATGGCCGCGATAACGTACCGTGCAAACGAAGAATTAAAAAAAAAAAAATGAAAGCCCTAGATTTTAAATACGCCGAGGAAATGTAAAGATCAAAATGTCGAAATTTTTTTCGGGATCCTTTGCATGTTCGCGCGTATTGCCTGGCAATACCTTAGACTTAGGATTTCTAGAGAGAAAATAAAGGAATACAATGATCTAGATTTTTAATAGGAGATGGAAAGATTCAATTTGTTGGGCGATGCAAACGCCTAGAACGAAGAAGAGTACAGCTCTTGTAAACAAGACACCTCAAAATCATACCTGTAAGCAACACTACTGCTAGCAAATGAGACGTCGACATCTCTGCTTCCAAACCTGCTAGGAGAGCGCTACTGTTTGTAAATATACAAAGCTCCTTGGCGAATGACGCAGCTTCTCCAGCAGATAACGCAGCTCTACAAGAAAGCACTTTAGGACAAAACTGCTTGTGATGAATTTGACGACTGCTGCGTTTTATATTTGCTGTAGCATCTCAGTAACATGAGAATGATGATAAGTACTGTTGACATGCCTCATTGTTCAATGTAAAACAATGCTCGTAACGTTACGGGGGAGTATGTCATGCTATAGACGTACAAGACAAGATGTTCGATTTTTTTTTCCTACTTTGCAACATTCCATCGAATGTTTTGAAAGGTTAACCAGTTTTAGCAGACGTGTTGATATAGAGAGAATTGCACACAAACAAATACGGTCTCTGCGGTCGAGTGAAAAGCTAGGTTTATAACTGCCAATGACAATGGTGAAAACTGGACATACAGAAAAGCAGTATCTAATGAGACTTGAGCCATTCAAAAATGACACAGAAAAGATCTTGATCTTATGCAGAAAAGGACTGTTATCGAAGATGTTATCCTTTTCTTTTGCCGTTTTTTTCTGTTCTTGCTTATTTTTCTTTTTTCCTTTCCTCCTTCCTTTTCTCTTACCTTTTTCNNNTAATCTTCATATATATAATTAATTAGCTTAAATAGTACGTACTAAAATATTCATCATTACAGGTTAAAGCTACAGCTTTTTCTATATTCATACCTTCCTTCCTTCCTTCCTTCCTTCTTTCTTTTCTTTCTCTTTATCTCTTTCCTACTTTATCTTCTCTATTATTTCTTGCAGTCCAAGTAACCGCTTCCCCCGGCTACCAGCAAGGAGTACCTACCACATCACACTCACGTGAACCAACAAAAGTATCGATAACTCAGGGTAATTGATCTTTCGTGTTAACTCTTTTCCGCTACATGATAATCTAATGCCGAGTCGACATTTTCATTTCACGAACATGCAGAGCATAATGCGTAGGAGGAGAGAAAGACGATCCTGCAGTACTGATATATATTGCATGGCAACTGTGTCTTGTATCAGATCTACCCTGTAAACGAGTACCGTGTAGCATTCGTCCATCCAAAGGGTTAAGTTGTGTTCGGATGCGCGTGTCGAGGTGTCGAGACATTCGATGGAAGGATGGCTGCATTTAAATGATATAGTAAACTAATACGTCTAAGACTAAAAGTGATGGGATACGATAGTGGTTACTGTATTAGCAAGAAGTGGAGAAGCTAAAGCCGCGCGCGCTCCATAGCTTCTTCCTTTCTACTGACAGGTATGCCCCGTCCTGTCCCACCCAGGGATAGCAGCCAGGATACCTTCATGCCTCTTTCAGTATTCATTTCATCTAGTTGCTTCTTTACTTGTGTTTCTACAGGTAATATATTTTTATCTGATATCGTTSTTAGCCTTGTTTTGATGACCTTAGCTTGGTTTATTCTTAGTCTGTACGTATCTATGAATATATGCTCTTCTTATCTTAATATCTCATCTCATTAGTAATGACCCCTAGAAATTGTATTTTCGTTGTTTGTACTTTCGTGATATGATCTTCTCCTTCAGTCATGCAATACAGTAAATATAGTTCAGATGTTATAGATTATTCTTTCAAGAAAGAAAATCTAAGCAAAAAAACATACCTACGATGAGGAAATTTTTTTTATCAAGACCTGGACGTATTCAAATGTCACATAGTGACGGGTCATTTTTTTTGTTTGTTTTATTCAAAGGATAATGTTTTTTCAGGGGAATTAAACCAGATTGGAGCCCGTTGTTAGCCGTTATTTTACCATGCTGAGAGACAACAGCGAAAAGAAAGATTAGGATTAGTTTATAGGGATATTTCAGTAAGATGAGTATTCCCCTACTGTAAGCAAACATATCTTTACAGACACTAACAAGGGGAGATTTTCCTCGCGCGAAGTCTTCAGACATGGCTGCCATTGGATCAGCGATACAAAAAGCTTTAAACATTGATTCCTGTTACCAGAAAAGACCGATCTGTCAGATAATTCCCGGGGGGGGGGGGGGGGGGACTTCAATAGGCCACTTCCGAGATATTCTTTGCTTGTCACGCACAAAGGTTTCAGTATGAGGCTACGTGCTAAATGCTCAGTCGTTCGTGACAGGCGATAAGAATTAATTTAATTTAGCACGTAGCCTCATACTGAAACCATTGTACGTGACAAGCGAAGCATATCTCAGAAGTGGGCTATTGGATCTACAATTTGGTACCTCTTAGGGTGTCACAAATCTAACAGGACTACCAGAGAGTGAGCCAGTACTTCTAAGGGTGTTTGTACTGTACAGGAATCGGGTACCTCTTATGGTACATTTAGAGGACAGAAGAGCAAAGCGGAGCATAACAGAGCATAGCACGCGGGACGGGAGAGAAAGAAGCTCTTTTCTCGTGGTACAATGGAGTGATATATTTTTTTAGACCATAACGTTTTCCCATTATCTTCAGAGTTTTCACTTGATACGCAGGACATTAAAACCAATATAAACATTGATTAGCGACCTTCACTGAGGTACAACTTACGATTTTTCGTCCAATTTTAATTCATTTTTATTTTAATTTAGAACATCTTTTATTTAACTATTAGATATCTAGCTATTTCCCGTTAAAAGTTTCTTAGAAATATCGTAAAGCGTACCTTCGTAATATGTTCTGAGAAACAGAATATGGTCTCGTTTGAATTTTGATCGTCCCAAGTTTAACATTACATTACATTACACTACTGGGATCCCTGTGTCGCCCTAGCAGCTCTGGTCACCTTTTCGCAGAGTCCTTTTCACCGCAATTCTATATACTCGTGTGTTGTAACAAGCCGAATACCTAAAATATTCAAATCAAATAATTATAATCAAATACCAAATTTCAAATCACCATAAAGCCTTGAAAAAGCTTTCTACCATTTGAAAAACCAGCATAGAGGTAAGCGCTTCCTGGACAAACAAGGGAGGCTAGCTTAACAATTAGAGATTTTTGGCAATTTCTTTTAAAGTGCACATGTACCCTTCGACAATACTTTCAGTACTGATTCTACATGAAGTAAATAGTTGAATGGTAAAATATTTCTTGATTTGGGTAATGCGTTTCTAAGTTATGAAGGTTTATACTTCCAATATGCTAATAAGTGTGACGTCTCTTAAGGCTTGATTAAGTATACAAAATTGAACAGGTTCATAGAAACAGTATTTAAAACGCATCATTATTTTACTCATGGTTTACATGAAAGTTTTTTTAAATTCGTATTTTCAAAATGGCCAGCATTTAGTATTACTAGTTACAACGAAAACACTTAAATACCTTACCTGACGTCACCATCATTAACATATTGGAAGTATAAACCTTCATAACTTAAAAAAGCATCACTTAAATCAAGAAGTATTTTACCATTCAACTATTTACTTTATGCAGAAACTGTACTGAAAGTATTGTCGAAGGGGATAGTTGCACTTTAAAGCAATAGTCACCCTTTCATAGTTCCCGGCGCCATCTTTAAAGGTAGCCATGCCTTTGCATCGAAACGAGACAAACGGTGAGCTTGCAATGATAGAGACCTTGGACGTGTCTCTATCATTGCAAGCTCACCGTTCGTCTGGCTTCGATGCAAAGGCAAAGTAACCTTTCAAGATGGCGTCGGGAACTGTGAAAGGACTATTCCAGGAAGAACAAACCACATCAGTGAAGCATATCACATTTTTCCTGGTACTCACTTTTCATTGGTATCGGTGAATTCAATGAGAACTTTTTTGAGACTCCATCCTATTGACAAATCCTGATACTGCCAGACATCGATAGAGGTCAAGGTCTCCAGTTCTTTGAAGGGTGCAATGAATCTCTCGGTGCTTCCTTTCTTTATATCTCGACTGAAAGAGACGAACGCCAAATAATTACCATAATCATTACAGTTTTTATCGCACGCGTATCCCGAAAAAGTGTCATGCAATAGTTCCCTGCTCCATCTCGAAAGATAGCCATGTCTTTGCATAGAAGCGAGACCTTTTTTAACACCTTCACATGTGTCTATCATTGCAAGTTCACCGTTCGTCTCGCTTCGATGCAAAGGCATGGCTACCTTTCAAGATGACAGGGAACTGTGAAAGGGACTATTAATTAGTGAACAAAAAAGCTTAACGCTTATTTAATCATAGAGCGTTTTTCAATCATTATCGTAGGTGTTCTTACTTTCCAAGTCGTATTATTCCAGTGTTTTTGCCGTTACTACCATAAACACGCATGCCTGGATCTTTTCCTCCACTAGACAGCCACCCACCAAGAGTTTCAAACGACACCTTGACAATACGACGAACTACAACATAAGATTCAGTCAATAGAAAATGAAGTAAGAGAAGGAATCACTGGTATTCATGCTAGTAACCATCATAGGCACCATTTGATGCTATTTTTAGAATCACATTTGCCATTGTTTATTTTTCTGCACCTGCATACTGCGCGCGCTCAACGCTGTTTGCTCATTTAAAAAAAAACATTAAAAAATTAATCAAAGAACTAGCAAAGAACTACAACATAAGATTCTCTTGATTCAATATAAAACAAACGATTTCACAAGTACACTTTATCTTCTTATACAGTATACTTAATTTGGACACTAGTAGTAAGCACTCTAGATTATAAAGTTAGTTCCTTGAAGGCATCGCTTTTCCTTCATGTATAGGAACAGGACATAGAGTTTGAACCGCCAAGGTATCGCCATTCTACTTTTATGAGATTATAGTGAACATAAAATATGTAATAATGTTGAAGTACAATATCTTACTTCCACAGCTGAAAGGCTCCTCGTCGTTTGTGAACAGGTAATATTTTCCAGATGCCTTTCCTTTGCTGTTGATTGCCTTGAACCCCATCTCAGGGCAGCCGGAACTAGGACACGTCTGACAGTTTCCCCGGGTAAACTCGTTCCATCCACCAGCACAAGGGTATGCGCGAAATGGACACTGGGAAGTGATTGATTCGATAAGCAATTTGGGAGCTCTTACATGGCTGCACACACTTGTCGTGATTCCAACTGCAACGATTGATAGAGTTATTAATAGGTTGTTGCTAGTTTTTAAACTACCATATTCCAAAAAATGAGCATAGTGTACCTACGCGGGGAGCGTTCGTGCCATAGTGGCAACTAAAAAAGGTGTTGTGGAGCAGCCCGTTATTACCCCATAAGGAAAGCAAAAAGTAACTCGTCAGTACCCAAAAGGAGGGTTTGGAGCAACCCATCAGGTACCAAAAAGAGGGACATGGCGCAACCCATAGGCACCCAAAAGAGGAACATGGCGCAACCCATCAGGCACCCAAAAGAGGAGCATGGCGCAACCCATCAGGCACCCAAAAGAGGAACATGGCGCAACCCTTCAGGCACCCAAAAGAGGAACATGGCGCAACCCATCAGGCACCCAAGGGAGGAGCATGGCGCATTTTTGTAGCCCAACGGCGGAGACACGGTGCAACCCATTAGCACCCAAAAAGAAATCATGCTGTCAGCACTCCGATAAAAGGGTATTTTGAACCTCAATAGAGAATAGCAACCCGTTAGTACCCAAAATATGCAAACTGTTAAGCGCTCCATTAGTAGGGCAACCACGTCCGTAACATATTTACTTGCTTACCCCTTGGTATCTCACATCCGCGTTGTCGAGTGCCGGCATTAGGGTAGAAATCGATATGTCCACTGACAGTTGACGTACCCAGGCTACCAATACTAGTATGGATGACGTCAACGAAAGCAGCGTCGGTAGGATCCAGTCTTACTGCCGGGTCTGTATCGATGAAGAACACACTGGCTGGATCGAGACCTAGGTAAGGAAACAATTACCATTAACTTGGATGTTCAATGGGAGTCATTTTTTAGAGACGCAGTACTATCTTGATGCAGTCGACAATATAAATAACTAGTCAACATCGAAATTAGTTTCGTCCATAAAAATCTTAATTACAATGGCAAGGCAAGGGCGGATCCAGGGGGGGGGGCAAAGGGGGGCTTCAGCAGAAAAAAGAACAAAACTGAAGAATTAGATGCTTTTTTATTGTTTTCCGTTGTGTTAACGGAAGAAACTCAATTAGCCTCCCCCCTAAACTCAATTAGCCCCCCCCCCTAAAACTTTGGCCGGATCCGCCCTTGCAAGGGACCTCCATCCTGACGGTAATGGGTGACTGAATAAGCTGCGTCCTCAGACTCAATCAACAACACAAGAAAATTGAACTGCTCTGTTAGATGCATTGAATTGAGTTTATGCATCAAACCTGTGATACGACCAATTTTGGCTGGTTGTTGTATCCTTCTTCCAGCATATCCTGCCACATGGGCGCCCAAACTAAAGCCAATCACGTAGAACGATGCCGGGGAATTGCCAGTTTGATGGTTGATGAACTTGATCATCTCTGCCACCTTGATACATATTATATATGATTATACATGTGTTTATATCTGAGTATATATACACATGYATAAATACAATGCACATTATGAATCGTTAGTATCTTTTATATCTCACATGATTACCATATTAAGTAACGCTACCCAGCTCGATTAGCTTTTTAGCTATTCTGGGAATCGAATTCCCCTCTATTTAGTACTCTAACCTTGTAACTACTTATTATGATTTTTCTGATGGTAATAAAGATTCTTGTTCTGATTGAAACATTAAGACCAATAAAGATTTTGGAGAAATTACATAATCAAGGAAAAGTAAAGGATCGGACATGCAGGGCTTTGCATGATCTAAGTCGGGCCACGCCAGACTCATAGATAGAATTGGAATTTAGCTTGTTAGGTTTTGCGGAGGAAGGAAAACCAGAGAACCTATAGAAAAACCCTCAAATCAAGGGAGAGACTCTACAACTCTACTAACGTGATACCGAATCCAGCAATCAAACCCGAGACCCCAGAGGTGAGAGGCAAGCGCACTACCGCTGCACTACTCTTGAAAGTTCTTGGAAGTCCTTTTGGTCCTACCTGTGCTCCTACGAGACGAGTGTTGCCAGCAGCCTGGGTGTAAAATTCCGCTGCTCCTTCTTCCCATTCAACGATGATTATATTCTTGTCGTTCAGAGCTAGAAGAGCTGGTGTTATGCTTTGAAGCCACTCGGATTTGTCAACTTTCTCTGTTGGAATAAGAAGCAAAAGGACTGCACGTAACGAACTCTAACGTAACAAACAAACCCTTTAAATAAATGCTCTCCATTTTCAGCACAAAAAAAAAAAAAAAAAAAAATCTCGATTCAATCATGGGACAAGGGTCACAGGTTTGTTGGCTAATGGCTATTAAGTGTTACCATAGTGAAACGAGGACTGTTCTTTCGTTGTTACCCAATTCGTTTCAAGTATTAGCTGTCAAAGAACCGTCCTCAAAACCCAATCGATAAGCCGTACACATTTACTCACCAGTCCATCCATGGATCACCATGATGGTGTCCTTCGAGCCGTCGTATCCAGAGGCCTGGAGCTTAGTGACGTCACTGTCATCAATGATCTTCATGTTGGTAGGATCGTTTGCACTAAAGAGTTGAAAGCTGGTGCCTACCTGACTTGGTGACTGAGGAAGAGCGACCAAGGGATTGTGGAATGGAGGGTCTTTACTGAAGCAACCGTACTTGACATAACACTTTTTCAACGCGCCTGAGGAAATAAAAAAACCTCTTTACTTTGGCGGGTGATGTTTTTCCCATTCCAGACCACTTGTACTTATCAGTCTCTGAGGAATGTTATTTCATTTGTTTAATGGCTGCGCATATGAGAAGACATGAATATGGATACAACTCTGGTGTTAAAAACGTGGTCGCCATGTTGGCTGATAAGGAAAAAGATACACAAGACCAGCCCTACGTCACACACGGGCATAGAGGATAATGATGAAATCTTTGTCAGCAAAGTCAATCAGCATAGTGGCTATGACGTCACATGGAACCCAAGAATAACTAACTTCTCAGTTGTGCTTGGAAAGACAAAAGTTTCGCCACGACGTTTTGTCTGTGAAATATGCATGTTGTCAGGGGCAACGTCGAAAGTGTTAAATGGAAAACATGGTGACGCCATCGGCAATAAAGCGTTGGTACGGTGATTATCACTCAACGTTGGCCCTAACAACATGCACATTTAATCAGCATAGAAAGTCTCGCTGCGCTAAGCTCATCTAAGATCGTATTAGACAATAAATCTTAAGATACACTGTTAAAACTTAGCAGATAATGAAAGGTTTCGATGTTACCTAGCTGGACGTCATCAAGTCAATAATTTTCAAACGAAAACAAAAGCGTTCCACTAAAGAGTTAAGCGCAAATGGAATGTATTTGAATTGGGTTTCAATTCTTCGAGGGAAAAAAATGCATTTCGCAAACTAAGCAGTCATTATGGGTCTATAAATTATATATATATATTATGCGCATGCGCATGTCGTCCTTGCTTTTTGAGTGTTGACTAATGTGGATTTCTTCATGACATAAAAAGGCTATTTCGACGTTGTTTTTTCCAACGCGTGGAAAGCTATGATAAAAGGCGCGCCGTTCTCTTTGGAATCAATTTGCTCGAGTTTTACTATCAAAAATCTTTATTATATTTTCGGAACTCTTATATGTTAAAGTATCTATGTGCTAAGTTTTATAAAATTGACATTAGATCTAGAATTGCCCGCGTGCTTCCCTAAGCTCAAACGCACCTTCGGATCGTTCCGAATGCGCTTCATTCTTTCCATTATGCGAGTCATCATAATCAAGAAATATGACTATAAATGTAACTAAGTCATTATGAAGTAAATATGAATATAAATGTAACTGAGTAAGTTAGCTATGTGTTAGATAAACAATTTTCGATATATATTTTATTTTGTTCAACTGAAAAGTACGACAGCTTTTTTGTCAACCTATTATTACCAGTGAATGTAAAATTTTCATATCAAAGGAAGCTTTAACGAAACTGTTTGTTGTTTCTGGGGATTTCACCTTCCCAAATTCACCATTTTCTCAGTTAATATTAGATCGATACATTGTAGCTTGGATGGTTAACCATGATATAAGACCCCCCAGGGTGCTGGTTGAAATGCACATACTGATCACAAGATGTTGCGAATACATCTAATAATTATTAATTATTATTAAAAGATGTGTTAAAAAAATCAGAAACAAGAAAAAAAGATTTCGAAGAGTGAATTCAGTTCATTATTTTCAAGCAACCGAGTCGATAGATCTTCTATAATACTACCTAACTCCTTGATATTCTGAACGTGAAATTAGTAATATTTGTATTCACTAGGGCAACTCTTCCTTTATAGGTAAGTAGAATAATCAAGGGAGATTTGTTTTTTAATAGTTTTCTTATAATTTGTTTTGTCCTATTTACGCCCCCTCCACGTCTGTACACTTTACCGATATTGTTTTAAACGGATTTTTTCTTTATGCATTAGCTTTCCATTCAAATATATTCGACGAAAAAGACACTTCAAAACGCAACTTTTCGACAACGAATAGGATGAGCGAAAACGATTCGAAAACAATACGAGTGGCAAGAACTTTTTTTGAAAACGGAACAAAAAAAATCCGTTTTCAAGAGTATCCAGATATGTGGACGATGTCTAAGATGATGCATCGTTAGTTATAGTACTTTCATAGTACTTTGTTTTCAAAAAACAAGGTCGTTAATTACTCATAAATCATGTACAAGTGCCGCTTGAAATCGAAAAACAATAAACACATAAAATCTAGTTAAATCCACACGCTATTGAAAAATCTTAACTATATTTAATGAGTAAGCAAACATCTTAAAAGCTTAGGAAAAATATGGCATTTACGTTTTCATATATATATTTTTTGTCATGCTAAACGTAAAGAAAGACAGCGCTGCTACTGATCTTTGCCTTTCGTCAGCTTTGGCTTTCATTTTAGTCTTAAACGAAAGCAGTCATAGAAAAGGGTTTTAACGTTTCAAAACTCTACTGAGAGGAAAAATTCATGTTTTGTTTGTTTAGACGAAGCGATTGACCATTTATTTTATTGAATTTTAATAAGTTATTCGATGAAATCGTCGTACATTTTTAGCCTACCTGTGTATCTAACGATATGGTTGACTCGTATTTTATTTTTTCTACCAGCAGCAGTTATGAGAGAGAGAGAGTTCAGCCGAAACTAAGTAGAACTCGCAGTTATTTCCGCATATATATTCTGGTAAATAATGTCTTTAATTGGAAATAAGTACCAATAACCAAATTTAGTAGAAATTTCTGAATTTAAAGGCAA